AAAAAATTAATTGAGAATTATATTGGCATATATTGAAGAAATATAAGATTCTTCAAGAATTTTCTTATGCTGCTTATTCTCATGATATACCAGTTAAGGTTGGGATTGAATCCTTTGATTTCTGGAACGAATAAAAGGTGATAAATATATGGGCCTAGTCACCTTTCATGTGGACTATTTACTATTATATAATTTTAATAGATGCATCTATTATATGGTCACATGTGCATTTGTTATCAACTTGTAGTTTGGTTTTTGCAAGATTGATTGATCAAATTATTAGAGCACAGTTTCAGAATATAAATTATGATGATTTATCTTGATAATACTGGTTTAAATCCAAGTTGGTTTAGCAGAAATTGTATGCCTCTAATTATATTTAAACCATTGGTTATGAGAACAAAATTGCCAAAATAAAATTTGGTATGTGATGTATTATTTAATATACAACAATACTTGTACGCATCTAGCCAAGTTATGATAAGTTCTCCCTATCACAATCGGTTCAGGGACAGGAACCAAATAATTTCCATCTAGAAATATGAATGTACTATATGATTTAATTATTCCATCACAATGCACAAAGATGGATCCCCAAATAAGGCTAGGGATATGTGTTGGTGATCTCAACAATAGGGGGAGAAAATGGGAAGCTGAAAAAGTAATGCATGTAATGAATTATTACGAGTACATCGAGATCCTCGTACGAGAAAATATGAACTTGAAGTTCAAGTGATAATTCATTTGCAAAATATTACCAGGCGTATTTGCTGATCCAAAGCTAAATGTCATATTCAGATGCTAATGCTCCAAATAAAATAAAGTTCATAATGAATAGAGTCCATGGCATGCATAAAGCATAATAGACTAATCGGTTCCAAAGATAAAACTCCTTGAAGAAGGAGAGGAGCAAATGNGAGATGAGCAAATGTTCAAGATGGTCATAATAAGGAGGCAAGTGCTCTAGAAGAGTACCACGATATAACACTGCATAAGACCTCATGGGAGAGGCTCAGGTACCTGAAAATAATAAGATAAAGAGATCTCAATAAGTTATGTCTTTATTGGGTAATAGTAGAACCGTTATAAAATGATCGTCGACGATATTGTTAATATAATGTAGCGCTCAATATTATTAATATTGACGAGGATCTTGAGCTCAAATCTGTCATGAAATTTGGACAGATAAATGATTGGCCAAATGAAAAATACGTAATAAAAATTGATTTTATCTGAAAAATATGAAGTTGGACGAGTAGTCCCAACACCTGAAAGTATAAAGCAGTGGAGGTATAAATGTGTTCTTGTGCGGAAAAAAAAGGTCAAGTCGATAGACATAAAGATGACTCGTGTCACAAGAAGATTTATAAATATCCTGGCATTGATTATATAGAGACATGTTCTCTTGTGGTGGATGTCGCCATTTCAGG